AGCACTCTACCCCAGGGGGACAGCTTGAGGCTCTGTCTCAAAAAAAAAGCAACAATTAAAAGATAAGCAAACTGAGAAAAATGGGGAAACAATATCAGGGTGCAGAGCCTTAATAAAGAGCTGTTATATAGTGTAGCAAGTACACCAAAACTGAAAGATCACTGAGGAAGTTGGACTTTTTCTATAAGAAACTTTCAGAAATATAAGTTGGACAATTTGTACATGGAATAAGAGGGAATTGGCTATAAAGGTATGAAATTTACTCTACTTCACTAGTAATCAAATACATGTAAATGAGAAATAGTTATTTTCAGTAATAAAGGTTAAAGGAAAGGGGATTCTTAGTGCCAGCGAATGGGGATTATGGAACTCTCTCCACAGAGAGGATTGTCAAACTTTCACTATTAGTAGCTCTAAAAATACTCAGATCCTTTCATTTAATAATTTTGCTTCTAGAAATCTATCCTAAGGAAATGAAGTAATTTTTCTATGATGATCGTACAGTTCATTTACTTCCAATATGGAACAAAATCCCAGAAAAGAGTTAGAAAATATTTAGAAAATAAACATCTTAGGAGCATGGACATGCTGCTAAAAGATATAAAGATAATTTTTTTTTTTTAAAGAGAAAGAGTCTCGATTCATCACCCAATGTTCTTAGGTGATCTAATAAGACCAAAGCTCTCAAATGCTGTAACTTCGTAAGGGAGAAGGAAGGCGTCTGTCTGTGTGACGTCCTGGAAAGAGTATTCAAGAGCACAAAGAGTTGCCTTTCTTTGAATTACCCAGATACAGACCTCCTGGCTACAAGATCCGAGAGTCCCATCTGTAGATGGCTTCAGCCAACCCGTCTTCCATTTCCTCTAGCTGTTTGCAGTTGAAGGCATGCACAATCCTTAACCCTGCCTGTTCTGTTCGCACTCCCCTCAAACTCAGCAGTGAAATTGTCCTTTACAAGAAATAGCTCCTATTGCTCCCCAGCCATAGAGCTGTTAAAACCCTTGCCAAGGCTACATGGCCTTTCAAAACCGGCCCTGGGGTCCTATCTTTCTCTTGAACTCTTCTCCAGCTTTCTCAAACTTATCCAGCTCGTTGTAATTCGCCGGCATATTTCCGTGATAGCACTAAAGAAAGGCCTTCCCTAACTGGCAGCCCTGTAACACTGTCCAACACTGCCTTATTTTTAAATTGTTTATTGCGTGTGTGCACCCGGGCTTGGGGGGTAGAGAGGACAGCCAGATGCGACATGGGCAGGATTGGAAAGTTACAGGCACTGTCCCAGTTTTCAGCATGTTGTTAGAAATCATGAACATTACTCATCTCGCGCCACCCGTGCACACGGGATGACCCTGGGGCCTTCTCCAACAGTGTCTGGACACTCTGGTACCTATTCATCCTTGGGAGGATCAAGTGGGAACCGACTCCTGAGCAGTGCCCTGGCTCGCACTAGCGGCTCACCCCAGCTCGAGGCGCGACCCTCTCGTGCAAGGGCCCCAGGGCGTTCAGGACCAGCCGACCCTGGGGCAGGGAAGAGGGAACGCAGGGTGGGAGTTCGTTAGGCAAAAGCAGGGTACCGGGGCTGAAACACCGGGACGGGGACCCCGCGCAGTCTGGGGCCTCAGGCCCGACAGCGGCAGGTAAGGGGAAGTGGAGGCACACACGCCTTGGACCACCCCAGGTGCAGGAACTCTGTAGGCGGGCAGCACCCACGAAAGAGTCGGTGGTCTGGGGCTGACCAGGTCTGCCTGGCTCTAGGGTTGGAGGGGAAGTAAGCGGCGAGGAACAAGGAGCGTTCGACGGCCTCGCCTGTCCTTTCACGACTAGAGGTTAGGTATAGGAATACGACTATCTCACCACAACCCAGAGCACGGGATTTATACGGACCCGGTGGGGCAGACTGCTACCATTCCCCTCCCCCACTCTGGCGGGTAAGGCTACAAAGGGATTTCAAGGAAGACGCATGCGCAGGAAACTAAATTATAAACCGCTGAGGCTCGTTCACTATTCGCGGGAAGGCGCAGGCGCAAGAGAAGCCCGGCGGGTTTATGGTTGTGGGGGGGGGGTTACCATAGCCCAAGACGCATGCGCATGATAATGTGCCGGCGGGTGGCGGGCTGGTTCGAGAAATTACGCATGCGCCTGAGCTATTTGTGACGCAAGGGGGTGGTGCGGGTCCATGGCTGCGCGTGCGCAGAGTTTGCTCAAAGGGCCTTATTTAGGTTGCGCAGGCGCCTGCTGGCCATTTCTTCTTAGCCACGCCGTCGTTGTGAGTCTGGGTGAGTGGTTGTCCGTTTTTGTTTGCAGCCCAGCGACCCCTGTAGATGCCGTTTTTGCCAGGATTGCTTGCCCCCAGGCCTCTCCCAGAGCTTGTGGGGCCTTAGCAAGCTGAAAGATGCCGCTAAGAGCTGCGAATGGTTCGCCGAATCCTCGCAGCGCCGCTGGGGCCTGCAGGCCGCACAGACTCTATTGTGTGAGATGTTGGAGGAGGCGGAGCGGAAGCGGCCGCCGCCATTTCCTTGTCTCCACGCTGGCCGCAGGCTGGGTACCTCTTAGTTTGGGGCACCGACACCTGGTGCCCAGGCGGTTTCGTGGTGCGGTCGCTAGTTAAGGGGCTGTTAACTGTTGGAGTCTTTGGGGTTAAGCCGTCTGCGAGGTTTCCGCTTCTATAGAGGCGCCTTGGGCCGTAGGGGTGCCTCAAGGGCGGAGGGGAGTTTAGTTAACATTCTGAGGTCTCATCTTCATTCCCGCCTTGCAGTCCTTTTCGACGCCAGCACCTTTCTTCAACAATGATGTTGGGCACCGAAGGCGGAGAGGGATTCGTGGTGAAGGTCCGGGGCTTACCCTGGTCTTGCTCGGCCGAAGAAGTGCAGCGGTTTTTTTCTGGTGAGTTAGAAATAGGAGGCGGGAGTTTAAGAGACCCTGGCCGCGGGGCGGGCGGGCGGTCTGCCGGCCGGGCAGACTATGGGCGGGGCGGGCCTGTCCGAGGCGCCCCCTAGTGGGGCGCGGGCGGCAGCAGTTCCCGCTGTGTTGCTAGATCTCGGCCGGCTGCTGTTTGTTACGCAATGGAAATTGCGAAGGCCCTGCCCGCCCTCCTTGTTTCCCCTGTGGGAGAGTGCGGCTGATGTGAGCGCCTTTTTTCCCGTTTTTTTTTTTTTAACCTGCCTTAAAACCACCCCGTTAGGGATGTCTTTCTCAGAAGATAAATGGGGAGAGATGAGATTCGTCTTTCAATCTTGAGCAAATAAATATTTTGCAGTATTTCAAAGTGTAATTAGCAATTCCAGTTTGGTTTTACTTGAAGAGGGGCATTCTGCTCTTGGAAAGTAAAATGTCACTTCTTAATTTCAGACAACTTAATCAAGATTTGGTAATTGAAGAGGTTCTTGCTCATCTAGTTCTTGATCTGGTTCACTTTACAGTTGAGGACACTGAAGCTCAGGGAAGTTTTCTCACCTATGTAGCTTTTTTCTTTTTCTGGCAGTACGTAGGTGTCCTGAATAACTTGTATCAGAATGTTCCTGTTTCCATTATTGGCTTAAAATTAGACTGTCAGAACTGTATTTTGAAGAAATTGAGAGCTTTTGTAAAGACGTTTGTAGTATTGACTTACTATCTGAATTTAGTGTTGGTAACGGAAAACGACCTGTAAAACAAGAACCAAGTACACTGGAAGCCACCTTGCAGGGGGCAACACTGGGTTTGGCTTCAGCTGTGCAACTTGGAGCATTTTAGCTTGATAACACTGATCCCCTTTCAGGTGAGTATTGGGCCTGCAGTTTGGATCTGAGTGACAAACCTTAATGTGGCTGCTGGTAAGGTAAAACCTACAAATGCCCCAGACCAAAACCCTAAGATTGTTGAGAAAATGCCATAAAATCACAAGATCCAGACTTGGTAGAATTTTGAGACCTTAAAGGATATCTAATGGAGACACGAGGAACAAGGATTTAGAGGTAACTAAATTAAGAAACTGCTTTGAATATTGGATTTTCTTGATGGATGGGAATTATTTCACTTCGGGACTGAGATGGTTTGAGAGGATGACTGCTTAAATACTGGGAAGACACACCCTTGGTAATACTGTGGTTATTTTAGGCTTCATAAGAGACATACTTTGCCTTGAAGTATGTGAACAGGCATTTCCTCTGTATCACCCAGAGGTGGTTGTAGGTTTTAAATTCTATATTAATGGTTGTTTTCTTTCCAGACTGCAAAATTCAAAATGGGGCTCAAGGTATTCGTTTCATCTACACGAGAGAAGGCAGACCGAGTGGCGAGGCTTTTGTTGAACTTGAATCAGAAGATGAAGTCAAATTGGCCCTGAAAAAAGACAGAGAAACTATGGGACACAGATATGTTGAAGGTTTGATATACATTGCCCTAGTAACAGTAAATAAAACATTAAACACATAGAGGTCTCACCCCTTCTGAATTTTAGGTATTTGACCGCATGGAAATGGTCATCTAAGGGAGTTTGTGGCAGCTCTTCTTAGCTTATCTAAAGACCCAGGAAGTCTGAACTTTGTTCTCTGACTTTCCAAAATTGACTAATTCTAAGCACCTCTTTCAGTATTCAAGTCAAACAACGTTGAAATGGATTGGGTGTTGAAGCATACTGGTCCAAATAGTCCTGACACGGCCAATGATGGCTTTGTGCGGCTTAGAGGACTCCCCTTTGGATGTAGCAAGGAAGAAATTGTTCAGTTCTTCTCAGGTATGTAGTCCTGTTTGTTGCTGAACAGTGAGTTTTGGCTAGCTTCTGGCAAGGTGATTTAATAGACCTTAAAGTTGAGAAGCTTAGGTACTTAAACGTAGGTTGTAAGTGTATGCTGATGAGTTAAATGTTTTCTTCCTAGAGACTTTCAAATAATTTAAGCCCATCTTAAAGGTGGAAATAAGTACTTCCAAAATGTTAACTTTGCCTGTAGTTGGTAGGCTGGTTCAGAGTAAATCATTGAGGATTGTTCTCAATATGACCACTATTCAGCAAAGTACTCCAACTTAAAGGTAAGATCCCCCTAAACATTAGGTTAGTGAGTCAGGTTGTTTATTTTTGGCAAGTGTTTTTAGGAGACACTTACTTGGGTAGTGGGACCAGAGACATCTCTAATGGTCTCTCTTTATGCAGAAAACTATTAGAGAAGCAGCTTGGTTTAGCTAACCTATTATAAACTGTTAGTGAAAGTTAAAGGTAGTTTGATTGTAGTCTCAGTATCTGAAATAGAAAGTGTTTTGAAATTGTTTTGGGCCTAAAGTATTTGAATGTTTTTATGCTGAAGAGCTGATATAATATTGCATGTTTTGTAGAATGTTACATCATATTTTAAATGCTATATATTAATATTCATGTGATAAACTGGAATTAAGAGCAAGAAATCCTTTCATGGTTTAGTTGTATTAAAATTTTGACTATTAGATATGTATCGACACCTAATATTTGTCAGAATTTTAAAAATCGAGTCTGTTTTGTTTTTTAAATTGGTGAGAATTGAATGCTATCTGTCAACGTTAAATATGAACATAATTTCATATCTTCTAGGAAAGTGCTTTAAGCCCTTTTTGTAAGCTTGGGAATGTATCCACGCAAAGGATTTTTCATAGACGGAATTTCCAGAAGTGAATCATACTACTGTTAGAGCATAAGAGTGCATGATTTGTGCTGTGTAGATCAGTTTTGTTGAAAGTTTAGATCGTATGTTTGTCAATTACATGATCTAAGTAATGTTTTAATTTTATTTAAATGTATAAATGTATACTTTTAAAACTTGAAGTTCCAATAATTTAAAGCATTGAAATATAAAATGAGGTAAAAGGTGTGTCTTGAATTTAGTAAAAACTGTTGCTGTTTAATGCTTGAAACTTATTCTTGTATAATTCTCAACATTAAGTTGAATACATAAGAATGTTCTTAAATTGTTGAATTCTTAATGCATCCTGTGTTCAAGTTTTTTAAATATACTGTATCATGGGGTGTGTTAAGAATTGTTATAACTTGTAATAATGGAACTTCATACTTTATTGCAATGCATATTTAAAGAGTACTTGTTGAAAACATACCGTTCACCTAAAGTTAAAATTCTGGTTTATTTAAAGCTATAAGAAGAATCATTTCTGGGCTTGTTGATGTTAATATTGCCCCCCTACTGGGGTTATTTGTCCTTGGGTTGAAGGGTTGGAAATCGTGCCAAATGGGATAACATTGCCGGTGGACTTCCAGGGGAGGAGTACGGGGGAGGCCTTCGTGCAGTTTGCTTCACAGGAAATAGCTGAAAAGGCTCTAAAGAAACACAAGGAAAGAATAGGGCACAGGTGGGGATGGATGGTTGGTTGGATATGTCACTTTTCTTATGGTAAAGAATTAAATCCATATTCTCTCTGCTTAAAAAGGAGGAAATCTGTTTCCTAGGCCTAGTTAATTGACGTTTTGCCACAAATTTCAGGATTTAATGATGTCACAGTCCCACATTGCACTCAGACTAAATTTAAGGTATTAAATTTGTCTTCAGATAATTTGGTCTCCTTTACAATTTTTGTAAGATTCTTAATTTGTTAACCCCGTTCAGTGGAGTTGAGAGACTATGGCTTTAAAAAATTAATGCAAACCTGGCTTTAGCTGTAATAACACCCACCTAGTAAATTAATATTACCATAAGAAAATGTGATACTTTCTGATCTTGTTTTTAAAGTTGAAATGCAACAAACTTTTTCTTGCTGTATAAATATTCTGCATATGTATTAATAAGCATAGCTTTCAAGAAATTGTCACAAAAGGTTTTTTATTCTCTTTGCTTGTGACTATTTTTCATTGAAGCATGCGCTTACCTATGCTGATTCCTACTAAAAGCATAGGCCTGGGGTATTTATTGGCAAAAGGAAATGTGTAGTGTGGGCTAGATTGTTGGTGGAGGCTGGCTTTATAGCCCACTTGCTATACATGCTGCCAATGGATTTACAGCTTGAAATGTTGAAAGTTGAGTGGAATTCTTTCCCTCCAAATACATTAACAGTACTCCTCTCCACCCCTAAGGTTGGGCTCTGCCTCAAGAGGAGTAAGTTTTTCTGTAAAGTTACATTAAAATCTTACTGTTGAGTGATTTTCTGGTCATTGCCTATGCAAATATAAGAAATCTGGCTTTAAATAGTAGTCAGTTTCATGGCTATGACTAGATTGTTTTCTTGTATAACTAAATAACCTGTATAAAATGAACTAATGTTTCTCTCCCCTCCCCACCCTCTCCCTTATGAACAACGCTTTAGGTATATCGAAATCTTTAAGAGCAGTCGAGCTGAAGTTAGAACTCACTATGATCCACCACGAAAGCTTATGGCCATGCAGCGGCCAGGTCCCTATGACAGACCTGGGGCTGGCAGAGGGTATAACAGCATTGGCAGAGGGGCTGGCTTTGAGAGGATGAGGCGTGGTGCTTATGGTGGAGGTATGTGAGGGGATAATCAAGGGTTGGTAAGTCTATTCCTCCTTCGTCTAGGTGTATGCATTTGACTTTTTTTTTTTTTTTATGTTCTAGGCTATGGAGGCTATGATGATTATAATGGCTATAATGATGGCTATGGATTTGGGTCAGATAGATTTGGAAGAGGTAAGGTAAGAATTGAATTTCTCAGCTGCAGGATACTTAACACTTGTCCATCTAGACCTCAATTACTGTTTTTCAGGAATGTCTGATCACAGATACGGGGATGGTGGCTCTACTTTCCAGAGCACAACAGGACATTGTGTACACATGCGTGGATTACCTTACAGAGCTACTGAGAATGACATTTATAACGTAAGTGTAAGGTGAATTCATAAGTCAAGTAATTCAATATGGTAGTAAAATCTTGAACCATAACTATTTAAGTGAATACCATGTTAAACATTAGTTTTCTGTAACTGTAGAAAGTTGACGGTTCTTTCAAATTTCCCTTTGTTTTAGTTTTTTTCACCTCTCAATCCTGTGAGAGTACACATTGAAATTGGTCCTGATGGCCGAGTAACTGGGGAAGCAGATGTCGAGTTTGCAACTCATGAAGATGCTGTGGCAGCTATGTCAAAAGACAAAGCAAATATGCGTAAGTATGATTTAAGCATTTGAGGGCTTTGAATACGTATGGCGTTTACGGTAAGAGTAGAATGGTAAAGGATGTGAGAAATTTCTCCTTTAATAGTTATTAGGTGTGTTGAAGAAAGTTTGCATTCTTAAAGTTAGTTTGAATGAAAGGGGTTTGTGATAATACTTACTTGGGCAGTATATCCTTAATTGAAAATTTAGATCAATGTTTAAAGGCTAGTCTGAAATACAAGTAAATCACCATAGAAGTTGTTAAATTTTTTTTTACTGAAGTATTTGAAGTTCATTTCAAATGAACTTGTTTGAGAACTTGTTTTAAGAACTTTCAAGTGTGCCCTTTCTTTAACCAAACATTTTCAAACTTTTTTTTTTTTTCTTCTCATTTCAGAACACAGATATGTAGAACTCTTCTTGAATTCTACAGCAGGAGCAAGCGGTGGTGCTTACGGTAGCCAAATGCTAGGAGGCATGGGTTTGTGTAAATATCACTTTAGTGTCTTTTTTTTAAGCTAACCTTGTATGCCTTTTCTCTCATTTCAGAACACAGATATGTAGAACTCTTCTTGAATTCTACAGCAGGAGCAAGCGGTGGTGCTTATGGTAGCCAAATGATGGGAGGCATGGGCTTGTGTAAATATCGTTAGTTTTTTTAAAAACCAAAACCTTTATATCTGTATAAATCAATTATGAGTTAATCTATATTTAGTGAGTTTAGCATATGATAATTTTGAATTTTGTGTCTGGCTTACTATTTTAAATCATTGTGTGAGTTACATATAACAATTCAAGTTAGATGTTAAGTAATTTGCGGGGAGGGGACTATAGAATGAAACTAAATTTTCTGAGTATAAAGTTAAAATCTAAAATAAGCAAAAAGCACAGGATTATAAAATAATGTAAATTGTTGGGCATAATTAGGTGTTCACTTTTGCCTGTATATTGCCATACTTCGATATATTTAAGGGGAAAACCCCACTAAATTTAGTGCAAGCAATTTGTAAGATCTTCAAAATGCCTGTACTTTTATGGGATGGTGGATTTAGTCCTGCTGATGTGTATACTGTTAGCCATTCAGTTTATATATATTTACTAGCTTTAAATGATGGGCAGAAGGGATGTCTTTTTTTATAGACAATAGGCAGAAGGAGGCAGAGGGTTATAGTAACATCAGATCAAGACTGGAAAAATCATAGATGTAGAATTACAAGCCGGGTACCGCCAGGTACCACATTACATGTGGAACAAGGTTCTAATGTTGTCTTAACTTAACAGCAAACCAGTCCAGTTACGGTGGTCCAGCCAGTCAGCAGCTGAGTGGTGGTTATGGAGGCGGCTATGGTGGCCAGAGCAGTATGAGTGGATATGGTAAGTATGTTTTTTAATATACCTAAAATAAGTTTTAGGGAGGTTTCTTTAGTTGGGAATATGCAGGCTCTTTTTTGGTGAAATTGGGTTGTTGAATATATGCTTTGAATCCTAATGTAATTGTTTTTAATAGCTTAATTTTCAGAAACAATCATTGGGAGGGGGAAGTGTTTCATGAATTAAAAACTAGTCATTGCAGCTTTGGAATATTGTTGAGCCAGAAAACATCTGCCTCCATTTATTAAAAACATTAGATCAAGTAGTTCACTTTTTTGGTCTTTCGGTTCGTATTAAATCAATTTTAGATGGAGGGAGAATTTTAAATAGTAGAATGGTGGTTGGGTTCAGGACCGTATTTGCTAGTCAGCTAACCTAGGATTGGTTTTATTTATTAACTTTTTTCAATTGGTCTAAAGAATGGTGATTTTGGTATTATAGTCTTACCCTACAAAATCCTTTTGCAGACCAAGTTTTACAGGAAAACTCCAGTGATTTTCAATCAAACATTGCATAGGTAAATATTTTCTCAAAAAATATAATTTAAATTCCCAATAGCGAATATTGATATGTTGTAATAACACTTTCTATAGCAGTCAATGGCTCTGACTTAACTCCATGGAGGCTGCCATTTTGGGCACAGTGAGTTGCCTTTAGTCCAACTTTGTTCTCACTTCCTGCCCACCATGAATAGGAAAAGCAAGATTTCCCTGTGCTCCCTATTCATATGCCATTTGAGGGACACATTGTGAATGTTTACAGTAAACTTTTTTTTAAAATGCCTTGTTTAGTTTTAAAAACATGAAGTAATTTTGCAATTTTTGAAAAACACTAGTTTTCCTTTAAACTTAATTTTTCATGTTGATCCTGAAGAATCCTTTTAAATGGTAGCACAAGAATCTGACACGTTGGTACTGCAGAGAAAAGGGGTTAATCGAGACTTGTTTGGAGTCGGGATTCCCCTTTCCCAAACATGCTTCTCGCCACTTGGACAGCAGCCATTTGTACTCGTATACCTTTTAAACTTTTTATTGGAATGCTATATTTTATTTGACTGATAATCTGAAGCTACTCCTGACTTGTTAAATTGATCTCTTTGCAGGTAGCCAAGGAGCAGTGAACAGCAGCTACTACAGTAGTGGAAGCCGTGCATCTATGGGCGTGAACGGAATGGGAGGGATGTCTAGCATGTCCAGTATGAGTGGTGGATGGGGGATGTAATTCATCCTGATCACTGACTCTTGGTCAACTTTTTTTTTAAGAAAAACAAACTTCAGTTTAACAGTTTCTTGCAATATGAGCTTGTGATTTATGCTTACTCTATAAGTGGAAATCAGGATTGTTTTAAAGACTTAAAGGTTCTGTGTTTTTGAGCACAACACTCATCGAGGATGTAACAGCAAAGTTGAGTAAACTATAACTGTTAAACAAGTTCCAGCTTTTCTCAAGTTAGTTATATTGTAGGATGTACTTAAGCAGTAAGCGTATTTAGGTTAAAGCAGTTGAATTATGTTAAATGTTGCTCTTATACCACATGATATTGAACACTCTTCAGATGCATGTTGAAAGACATGCCTTTTTTGTAAAACTCAATATAGGAGCTCTGTCTACAATTAAAAGTGAAACATTTTGGCATGTTTGTTAATTCTAGTTTCATTTAATAACCTTGTAAGGCACGTAAGTTTAAGCTTTTTTTTTTTTAAAGTTAATGGGGAAAATTTTGAGACGCAATCCCGATACTTCAGGATTTTGGTCTTGGTGTTTGTATGAAATTCTGAGGCCCTGATTTAAAAATTTCATTGTATTGTGATTTCCTTTTAGGTATATTGCGCTAAGTGAAACTTGTCCAATAAATCTTCCTTTTAAAAACTGCACTTTGTCTTGTCTGTGCTTCAGTGTCATGTGGACTCTTTCTTGGTGCTCTCTTCCTGCCTGAGGCATAGGTCCACATCTGACGGCAGAAAAAGGCTCGGCAGTTGAGGCTGTTGTATAGATGTCTTCAAACTTCTCGTCCCTCCAGTGCAACTGAAGGTAAACTTGCTTTTGAGGCCCTTATGAAGGTCTGTGTTTTGGCTGCACAGGACCTGGTCTGAACTGCCTGTAACTTGCTAAGCACTGCACAAAGTTCTAGTGAGGCACCAGTGCATGTCTTGCATGTCCAGGAGGCTTTCAGGCGTGATGGTGAAGTGCCAGAAGCAAGGGCAGATTGGAAGCTCTGGGTTTTTTTTTTTCCTAAGCCAGTCAGACTTAGCTTTTGAAGTTTTGAGTATTTGTATATGTAGGGTGTTTTTTAGGAAGAGCTTCCTTATAGATGGTCTTTAAGCTTTGTATTTTTTGCCTCATTCTTCAAAATCAGTTCCACTTAGGAGTAAAATTCCATTCCATGTAAACCACCTAAGGCAGAATACCATGTAGTTGAGAACATCAGCATAAATTTTTTTTTTTTTTGAGACAGAGCCTCAAGCTGTCCCCCTGGGTAGAGTGCCGTGGCATTACAGCTCACAGCAACCTCCAACTCCTGGGCTCAAGCAAGTCTCCTGCCTCCACCTCCCAAGTAGCTGGGACCACAGGCGCCCGCCACAACGCCCGGCTATTTTTTGGTTGCAGCCGTCGTTGTTTGGCAGGTCCGGGCTGGGGATTCGAACCCGCCACCTTAGGTGTACGTGGCTGGTGCCTTAGCCGGTTGAGCTATAGGCACCGAGCCTAGCATAAATTCTTGAAACATGCATTCCTGTTTTTGGTAGGTTGGAACTCTGACATGCTAAGAAATGTTTTCTGTATCCAAGCTGTTTTAAAGGAATGATCCCAGAACATCATCTGGTAGATGCTAAAGGGCACTGCAGTTTGCTAGTGCTCTTCCTTCTAGACTCAAAGTCTGTGGTATTGAAAGAACATAGCATTTGAGCTCAGATATGACAAGTGTGTGTTTTTAACTCCTGTGATGTGGTGAAGGCTTTCCCAAGTTTGTTTTTGGCTGAGAGTATTGTGGACTACAGATTGCTTGCAACTGGCCATTTCTGGCTGTGTGTGGTGGATTGCATGTAATGGAAATATGCATGGAGGGCTCTGTAGGTCCAGCCTTGCTGCATGCGGTCCCCAGAGGACTAGGGGGCAATTCACATGAGAGCAGGGAAAGGTCTGGAATGTATTAGGTCTGACAAGTCTGGAGATAACCTTTGGGTCCTTTAGTTAACTGATTTACACTGATAAAAGAAATACTCTTCTCGTAAAACTTTGGGATGGTTACAGGAGAAAAGGATTAGAATTAGCAACTTGGAGTAAGGTTAGGTTGAAAATTTAGTCTAGATCTATTGTGTTCTTTGGAACCTCTGCTCCCTGGACCATCACTACTTAGCAATGAGTCAAGCTCCAGATCCTGTTAAATCAATCTACAGTTTAACCAAGACCCTGACCTGCTCAGTCTAGCCCTGTTGGCTTGCATATTGAAAAGCATGCTCTTAGACCAACAGTTCTCAACTTGTGGGTTGCAACCCACAGGAACTGTATTTTAAAGGGTTGCAGCATTAGGAAGGTTGAGAACCACTGCCTTAGACATCTGTCTATCCCTTATTTATCAGGCTGGGAAAAGGTGGTGTGAGCCAAACCTGAGGGTTACAAAAATGTACAGGTGTATGTTTGGATGCCAGATAGAAAAATACGGACCACTAAGGGCAGCTTTTTGTAGCTTTGGTACCTGGATCTGCTGTAATGCTTATTGAGCTTTTGTTCCTTGGCCATGGGGTGTGTGAGATTGGGCGAAAATGGGTATGAAACTTAAGTGTCAGGCACAGTGATGGGAACGTCTACAGAGTCCCACCATGTCACCTTCAGTAGGGTGCTATGGCATCACAGATCACAGCAACCTCCAACTCTTGGGCTCAGGCGATTCTCTGGCCTCCCAAATAGCTGGGACTACAGGTGCCTGCCACAATGACCAGCTATTTTTTTGTTGGCAGTTGTCATTTAGCTGGCCTGGGCCAGGTTTGAACCTGCGAGCCTTGGTGTATGTGGTTGGTGCTGTAACTACTGTGCTAGTTTTTAAAAAGTTTGGTTCTGTTTGAGATTAATAGCTGTTCAGGTTAAGTTAGGGAAGGAGCACCTTCTTGCTGCCCGGCATTTCTGTAATAGGGCTTAAAAATCTGCTTAGAACATGGCTCTGGAGGTGGGCAGACCTAGTTTTGAAGTCTGACTGTACTTTTTAAGCTGTAGGACTAGATAAATATGGGAACTAACTTTGGTGAGCTGTTTTCTTCCCGAATGGTTAGGAATTATGGAGAGAAGTGGAATCTGGAGTTTTAGTTAAGGGTACTAGAGCAGTGTGAAGAACCAGTGCGGACCCAAGTTGTGGGTGAGCCTTTCTCCTGCAGGGCAGAGCCTGAAGAAAGCAGGAGAGCCAGGATTCAATCAGGCAGGGTCCTGAGCAGGGTGTCCATCTGGATAGTGGAAAATAATATGGCCTGGAATAGACCGGGGCGGGGGGTGCCTGTGGATATTAGAATGTTTTATTTCTACCTTAAAATTTCTAGTCCATTGACTCCTATGGTGTGTGAGTCCAAAGGAGGAAGCCTTGGAGCCAGCATTAGCACTGCTTTTGAAGTGAGAAAACGGCTGCCTGGCAAGTGCTTTTTTCACAGGTGTTTCCATCTGTTATCTGCTGAACTCCAATCATAGAAGGCAACAACTTTTGAGCTTTAGTGACAGGTTTGAGGTCACTTCACTTGTCCACTGATGGTAGCCTGTCCTAGGCTCACCTGGGAGGGGCATAGCCTGAGCCCAGCAGGCTTTTTGAGTAATAATAGCCTTCACCTCATACTCTTACCTATGGGCCTCAGTCTTGGGACTCCATTAAGGGTGCTCTGAGGCCCCTAAGAGCAGTCTGGGGTAAGAGCTGGCAAGGTTCCTGCTGAGTTGACACAAGCTCATTTTCTGCACACACCAGAGTGAAAAATAAATGATTTTTATTGCAGGGCCAACGATAGGTATTCACAAGGGCATGAAATGGTCAATCTCTGGACTGACGGAGAGAAGGCACACTGATAGACTCGGCATGGTATGAAGCACTGTGTACAAAGTTTTGGAAGGGGGGGAGTGAGAGAAACTGATTACTTACAAATGCTGCAAAATAGGCTAATTCTTTGAAAAGTAAAAAATCAGTAGCAAAATCATAGTTACATAGTCAGATGGAAATTTCAATCCAGAGGAGTTAATTCCATACAAGTAATGGAAAGGTGCACAGCTGGTTCCTACATGCTGTCTTCCAGGGCCAGCAGCCTTGGCCAGGATTGGATTCTTTTTGATTCTCCTGGGAATCAAACTTCCCATGCTTCCTGTGGTCCCTGCAGTCCCAGAGTTTGGCACTGTTTCTGAGGCTCCCTGCTGCCCTGAGAGGGAAAGCCAACCCCTGAAACCCCTGCAGGCAGCCTTTGTGCTCAGGAGGCCATGGAGGAACAGCGCTGCAGCAGCAGTGTGTGGCAGCTGTCGCACACACGTACCGGCTTGGGGTAGGAGGGCAGGGCCAGCTCATTGCTGGAGCAGGTGTTGCAGAAGATGTGACCACAGTTGCGGCAGTGGTGCTAGAGGACAGAGAGAAGGCAGTTATGAGACCCCAGAAAAAACAAATCTGCACACCTCCCCATTCCCCCTAACATTTAGAAGTCCAGTTAATGCCCTCACATCCTCCCTGAAACTATATTACCTATTTCAAATTTTATACTCACTCTCTTGTCACCCTGGCCCATGGTATCATCATAGCTTACTGCAACCTCTAACTCCTGGGCTCAAGCCATCCTCCTGCCTCAGCATCCTGTGTAGCTGGGACTACAGTTGGTGCTGCCATGCCTGGCTAATTTTTGTGCATACAGGAAAAATTGCTCTTGTTCACGCTTGGTTTAGGCATGTAGGACCTCTGGAGAGTGGGGGAGGAGTGCACACTTGGCTGAGTAAGGCTTTTAAGAATCTTTTTAGTAACCTCCAACTTTTGGGCTCAAGTGATCCTCTTGCTTCAATTTTTCCTTTTTTTTTTTTTTTTTTTTTTTTGCGGTTTTTGGCTGGGGCTGGGTTTGAACCCACCACCTCTGGCATATGGGGCTGGCACCCTACTCCTTTGAGCCATAGCCGCCCTGCTTCAGTTTTTATTTTTGTCCTGTTTTTTTTTTTTTTTTTTAAAAGAGACAGAGTCTCACTTTATCACCCTTGGTAGAGTGCAGTGGCATCACAGCAACCTCTAAAGCCTGGGCTTAGGAAATTCTCTTGCCTCAGCCTCTCCCGGAGCTGGGACTATAGGCGCCTGCCACAAGGCCCAGCTATTTCTTGTTGCAGTTTGGCTGGGGCTGGGCTCAAAAACCTGTCACCCTTGGTATATGAGGCTGGCGCCCTACTCACTGAGCCATAGGTGCCACCCCAATTTTTCTATTTTTAGTAGAGATGGGGGTTCTCTTGCTCATGCTGGTCTCAACTTGTGAGCAATCCACCCACCTTGTCCTCCCAAGAGTGCTAGGATTAGAGGTGTGAGCCACCATGCCCAGCCAACGCCTGGTTAATTTTTAAATTTCTTTTAGAGATGGGGCTCACTATGTTGCCTTGGCTGGTCTTGAACTCTTGGCCTCTAGTGACATTTCCACCTTGGCCTCCCAAAGTGCTTGGATTACAGGTGTGAGCCACCGTATCTGGCAACACAGGATGTTTTATTATATGTTTCCTAACTCAATGAGAGTGGGTAATTTGAATTACATACAGAGCCTGGGTCATTCCATGGGGAGAAGAGTCTAGCTTTATAAACAGGGCTGCTGTGGACCTTGTCTACACTGGGTTCACTAGGTACAAGATGGTGTAGCCTCTGCCTCTGGCCTGCCCTCATGAGGCCAGGGGCCATTTG